TCTTTGGTTTTCTGCTTCTAAATGATTATGTATGATAATATATGTGCTCTTACCAAGAAATAACTTGGCAGCGAATGGGTTAATCTTCTATACTTTAACTGTGTATAAATTGTGAATATTTACGTAGGATTTATTAATAAAAAATGTTATCTTTATTGTTACCCTGCCCACAGAACAGAATACCAATAAAATAAACCTAATTATATTATTCTAAACCATGCACTGACCCACGGTGTTTAATTTCAATTGCACTGATAGTATATTGATGCACAAACGAGAGAGACAGATTTAGTATGAACGAGACCGAGATGCCTGAAGGACCATCACCAGAGGGAAAGAAGGGAAGAGTTAGTGTCTCCGTCTCGAAGTCGTCCTTCGAGCTGCGTCCTCCTAATCCCGAGCGTTCTCCGATACTGGAAAAGATCTGAAGACGCAGAATTTTCTCTCGTTTCTTTTCTTTTTTTTTTTTTTCGGGAACCGTTCACTACCGACGTGGCCAGACAATTTCGAGGCTCGCCCAAAATGAAAAAGTAGCAGCTGAATTTATTCTCCTCTATATACGTGTTCATCGTTTTTATCGTGTAAATTCGGTGAAGACCGCTCGAGTACGCTTCATGGAAATCAAGTTAAAACTTGTGACTGGCTCGTGCCACTTTTGCCATAAACGGATGAGTTATGATCCAGGACGAGCGGCGCGGCGTTCCGTCACGAATTTCGTCCGGCGACTTCTGCCCCGTTCAATTCCGACTCAAATAGAACGCGAATTTAAAGAGAAAGAGAGATATTGTTTTTCCAAGTTTCAAGAAATATTCGAAACGAATTTAAAAAGCATGAAACGTTAATTGGAATTTTCACTTGTTAATTAATAAATCCTTTGAGAAAGAAACATGTCGGGAATCCCATTAGCGCCGTTTTCGATAACGAAACACTAATTTCATGAAGATGAAAATTCCAAGCGTGCCGTTAATCTCAAATTAGAAATGCTAAGTTTTTACTTTCACGGGTGCACTCATAAAAATTTCAGAACATTCGAACAACAATAAAAT